CCCCCCCACCCCCACTTCATATAGTTTAAAACTTTTTCATTAGTAGTTTTTATCACAGTAATAAGTTTCACTCACCAAGCATTTTTCTTTTAGTTGGATTTATCTAAAAGTTCCTGTTACACTACATACTTGCAGAGAAGAACATGGTTCAGAAAGGTTTACTGAAAATGTCTGCCTGATTAGATGCTACAATCTTATTTTTCACTCACATTTTTATAGCCTACTCTCCCATTAATCCCTATGCACAAAACAACTGAAACTCATCTAAACCAAACAGCTAAGAAGTGATTCAGTGAGAAAGAAAACTTGATGAATCTGTTCATATGCCACTTTCTTTGGTACTAGAAATATAGAACATACTGCAGTAGTCAAAAAATTGTAATGGTGCTTAGGTCAGCATGTAACAAGTCTATTTTAGAAACATACAGCAAGACATGACAGACCTCTCTGCTTCTCTCCTCATCAACGAGAGGCAAGTCTGCCAGAAAAAGTACCCAGCTGGATAAAAAGAGATTGGAGATTGATATTATACAGGTAAGGAAATATTTCAAATGTCAACAGTCAAAACATGCAAATAACCTCCCTAAAACATCACTGAAGACTGGTCAAGCTGAGCCACAGGTTCATGGGAGTAAAAGCACAAACTTGCTCCTGTAACTCTTAGGACAGCCACCTGAAGAGCGGAGTGTTTCTAGGCAAGTCCTGCCCACTCCCAGTTAATCAAAAGACTGTTTAGTGGAATGTGTATCGCTCCTGAATCCACGATTCCTGTTGGATTATGGACTGAAGCTCTGTTTTGCACCTTCTCTCCACAGCCATGAATTCTTTACTCAAAGGGGTCCAGCTTCGACAAGCCAGGGTGCAATGTTTTTCCCTCCAGAATAATTTAGCATTTAGGAAATGGTCATAAAGAGCACCCTACCTGCATGTGAAGCCTTTCTGCTGGAGACAAGAGTGTCCTGGCTTCCTCACATTAAAATGTCTTGCCTGGTAATGTGGATGACCCAACTTTTTTTCCTGTTAAGTTTGCCATTGTGTCTGCCAACACTTTCTTTGGAATGGGTACAACCTACCTTGCTAAGGGAGGAATTAGCAACCACTAACTAATGCCATCGTAGACAACCTCACCTTTACTGCTCATGAAAGGGGCAGGACAGGCTTCAACTGTTGTGTTTCATTCCATCTCAAACAACAGAGTAGGCTCTCACCTATGTCTTTACCCATAGCTCGTGCAAGTTCCTCAACAGTCATCTTCTGCTTTATCTCCACTTCACCTTTTGTCACTAGTATCTTCTTTTTCTTCTGTTTTGTCTCCTACATGGAATTAGATACGTATATAGGAAGACAGAGCTGGCATAAACTAAGAAATAATAAAAACAATATTAAGAAGACAATGATCTCAAGCCATATGATGTAAGTATATCTTTTTTACTACAATACTAATGAATTACAATAAATGTGCGACTTAACAAATCCTCCTGAATATTAAAAATGTATAGTGTACTACAAAATCTTTTTTCATTATTGATTTTTCAAAATAATGAAAAAAAAATCAACAACATCATTTTCATTTTTGTAATAATTTTATCCTGCCTCTGAAAGAGTCATGATGCTGCTGGTATAAGCACTTGAAGTCGGTATTTGAGAGTCACAATACAGTTGTACATTATGTACATGCTGTCTGATAAATTCATAATAACTTCTCTATATTCATTATAAAGCTCTTTATTTTGGTAATTAAAATGCTCAAGCTGAGCTCCTGTGGTTTGAAATCTCCCACAAAACCAGAGATCACTGGATTTTGCTCATTACCTCCTTTGTAGCGAGCTGTCTGCATGGCGATAAGGCAACACTGATAAATTTGTCTTTCTGCCAGCGCTGCGGATGCAGAAGGATGGACCTCCTGGGACATGCAGATGACTGCACAGGCTCCCATTGTGCTCTGTAAACTCTTCTGTGGGAGAGAGTACGCAGCTGCTGGCACACACCACGTAACTGCACCACATTTTCAAACTTCAGTATCAACCCACGATTCATTTCCTCACTGAAAATACAAAGGACAGATTGAAGTCAGCATCAAAGCTAAAAAATGCTCTTTCCTATGGTATGGACAGGAACACGAGGCACGAATGTTGTGTTTCAAAATAGGCTTTTTAATACTCCAAAAGTTGAACTATTTAGTAAACGTTCCAATTTAAGAGTTTCCTTAAGTGCTTCACCTTTCTCCACTAGCCCGCCACAGACACACAGATCTACAAATACTGCCACAGTGGACAAATCTTTCACCCAACTCCAATGATCTTTAATAAAAACTACTCAAGTCCCCCTTTCATGTTCTTTGAGACCACCTAGAAAGGAAAGGGACATGTGCACTCTTCCTGCTACAGTGACAGTTATCCAGGTGCGACCTACACCTCCAAGGCAGTAAAACACATTTGCAAAATGCTGCTGACATGAGCGTGTACCACCACTAAACGACTACAGCACCGCATTGACACCAGCGCTGTCACACGGACAGAGGCATCCTTTGAGGCTAAAGCCTGGCTTAGCAATTAAGCTTTACAAGATGCTTCTGTCAGATCATCCCACATCTTGTTTTAAGCACCTTAATTTCGGTTTGAGTCATTTTGCTAATCATCCTGTACAACAAACTCCTATCTGAACTTCTCTTCTGGCTCAGAGTTGCCTGTTTTGTTGGTCTGCTCGGTGATGCCGCTCTCTGGACCTTCTAGGTCTTCTCTCGGAGATGGCTTTGTACCTTCCGAGCAGCTCCCCGTGAGCGAAACGCTACCCGGCCCTCTCACAATAAGTGCGGACCCTTTAAAACCTCTCCGCTATGCGGAGACCTGCAGGAAGTGAGCAGATGACAAACTAACCAACCGAAAACTACTTTTGTTCGTTTGTTTCCCCCTAAAGAGCGCTTTAAAGGGGCAAAATCGGTCAAACGGAGGGACCCGCAGGAGCTGCCACCAGACGCTACCTACACCCAAAATGTCAGGTCACGGCGGGACTGGCGAAGCTCTCAGCGGAGATAAATCCCCGCGAGGCTGCTAACCGCAAAGAAACCCCTCGCCACTCCGGAAGCCCGCGGGCTACTGGTGGCGAGGGCGGGCGCGCCCCTCAGAAACATCCCCCCTGCACCGCGAACCGGGCCGCACCGCCAGGACGCAACAAGGACGAGACCGCCAAGCTCCGGAAACCTGCCGGCTGCGGCTCCGGCTGCGGCTCCTCCTGCCCTGCCCTGCCCTGCCCTGCCCTGCCCTGCCCTGCCC